TAAATTACACGTTAGATATGTTTGTTTCTTAAAAAATATTATTATTAATTGTGATTTTATTAGTGCTATTTAGTGTTGGAGACTCTAAATTGATTTAAAAAATTGAATTGGTTCGAATCAATATTAATTAATTAAACATGACTTGTTATGTGTTACTGATTTCTTATCTTTCGATAGTAAGTGAAATTTAAATTCCAAGTAAGTATTAATATTTGTAACAAGATGCGTATAAGTTCAATTAAATTTGAAGTAACTTGAAGTAACTTTCGACGATTCTCGATTTGATTTGGAAAAATTGTTCTTTTAATTTTTATTATTTAAATTTGATTTCTTTTCGATGAATTTATTCGTTTCTTTTACTTCGTTTCCTCGCTTAAATTCACGTTTTGCCAACATTCGTGACCAATTTAAAGGATACAGATCAGAAAACTATTCCATTTTATATTTTATGGACATCAGATACTTCTATCCCCTTAGTACGTGTCCAGAATTTTTTCCTATCTTTCCAAGATACAGTTATTCAATAAGCTTTCCAATTTGTTGCTACATCTCGAACAATTTATCTATACAAAAAATGCAATCCAGGAAAATAAGAATTCGTACTGACAACAAATCTGAATTTTTTGAAATTTTCAATCTATTCTTAGTAATTTCATTTATTATTCAATTATTCAATCTTCCATATCGTGTATCCCATGGAATAGACAAAAAATTGAACAAAAACGTTCAGTTTATATCTCTTTCGTTATACTTTCATTATACGTACACTAAATCATTCGATTTATCTTCTCAATAATTAAACAACAAAAAAAGTCTCGAGAATTATCTTTGAATAAGGATTCTCTTCTATTTCTCATCCGAGACTTATGGAAATAAATATAACTGGTGACGTTTAGAGGAAGCGAACCATTGATAGAAATCGTGAGAGGAATATTTCCATAGGGTTGATATCTGCTATATCGATATTCGAATAATAAATCACAGCGAGATTTATTAGTTGTCCGTTATAATAATTTTTACCTGAGATCAATTTATCAGTAACGTCGGTAAATTGCGTTTTCCAACGAAACGCCTTCGCTACGCTCGGATGAATATCGACTGATTTAACATCAAAAGTTAATCTGGTTAATATTCGAGGCATACGGTTTCGATGTTTCGCGTTTTTATCTCTTTTCTCACATATCGATCGCTTCATAAATCTCTCGAAGAGTTCTCTCTTGAATAATTAACCTTCTTCTTGGTCAAATCAGTTAAATCATCAGCTATACCATTCAATCGATCGTGCTTTATAATTCGAAATAATCAATCATACATAATGAATATTTCGAATAAAATATTTCCATTTTGTACCCATATTAATTATATAAGAATTTGTATAATTAATCAAATCTTTAATTATAATATAGGAAGAAGCAAAAGATATGCAATGATAGAAATCATCATTTGTCAGAATGAAATTAACGCTATGATATTCATTAATTATAATGAAAAGTTGTTATCTAATTCAAATGAAACTTATAATAATTTTTCTAATAATTATAATTATATATATATATATATTTAAATCGATAATATTGAAAGAATTTTAAATAATTCTAAATAATTATGAATTGTAGTATATAGAAATGTTGTTATCAAATTAACCAAGGTTATAAAAATAATTATTCATTAACATAGTATTCACAAACACGAATACTAAATCTCAGATTGTATTACCATTAAACTTTAACGTGAGTTACGATATTCAAGTATCTATATTATCGAATTTCCATGTTATCCACTTTTGGTTGAACATCATCCCCTGTAGGCAATGTTGTAACATCATTAAAATTCAATACTAATCTACAGATTTTCAATCGAACATTAGCTTTCTGAAGCTTATGACTCAAGGTCACAATTATTCGATATTATATTCGTTTTAATCAAATCAATTCAATATCCATTATGCAACTCTCCATATCACTGTATATTAATTACAATATTAAATTCATCACAACCAATCTCTGAAATGTCAGTACAACGTAATTCTTCATATTTCACAATGCATAAAATTCAATTCTTTTTCACAAATTCTAATCTTTAACTTATTCCCCTCCTTCTTTTCAAACACGTAATCCTTTACATTATTTGTATTACACGTTGAATTAAAAATTCAATTCTTTTTCCACAATTTCCACAGCTTTCGATATCGAAATCTTCCTTATCCATTCATCTTCGATCAAACGCGAATCCTCATGATTCCGTATTGTTCCTCTCACCACCGCCATCAAATATCTGTTTTCACCTTTCTGACGTTGCAATTTTCCAATACAGTTGAAAAATTTATTCCCTCGATCGTATTCCAGCGATTTTCCACGAGGTTCCCGCTACTTTTCGTCGAAACAACGTGAAATTCAATTCCATCCAGGTTGTTCCGTGGCCGTGTTATTATTACCATTGCCTTCGTGGCGTGGATTAGAATTAGATTGGATTAAAAATGTCCGAGTTAGAGGTTTCAATTACTTATGTACAAATATACAGCTTGTTTCATTCAAGCATGGAAAGTTAAGATCAAAAAATTCGGCAAGATCTGAAACAAATTTCCATATTCTTTGATATTCTTTTTATTATTTTATTTCTCTTGATCGTTCGATCCCCTTCGTTATTATTCGTTATCATTATTATAATCTTGCTTCGAAATTATTATTATTATTTATTATTTATTCATATTACAATCTCGTAAATTTTCGAGAATATATTAATCAAATTATCTTATAAAATTTGAAATATTACGATAAACAGACGGCCGAGGAAACACCGTTCATTTAAACGAAAAACCACTCAAGATCACACGAGCTTTACGCGAATTGTGGATCGGATAAATAAACTGTCTGTATATTTCCAAAGGAAAAACGAGAAGGAACGATGTTAACGCGTGATCGAGCGTGATCAGTCATCGTTTTCACCAGGATTCGAAATAATACGTGTCAACCGATCGATCCTAACTCAATCGATGATTGTTCGTTTTGAAAGGCAGTAATAAAGGAATTATTGTAAACAAAAAATGGCTCGTTCGTGGTGGATTAGCCGGCTGAAAATAACCGTTAAAAATAGATTTTCACGGGCCAATTTACAATTCATATTCGCGGTGGAAAATTCAAATAGTTCCACGATGATCCTCGTTTCTATTTCCCTTCATCTCTCTCTCTCTCTCTCTTCCCTTTCCTCTCACTATTTAAATTTGTGATTCGACCCGTTCCCTCGAGATATGTCGAATTTGCATTTCTTGCGTTCGACTTTCGAGCCAACTTATGCACGCTCGTGTTCAAATAAGGACCATCCACTTTTTAATCGTTTCGTCAACCTTCTTCTTCATACAGCGCACCAGCTTTAATCTTCTGCCATGGATAGGTAGATATTCGATATTTTATTCCACTCGATTCGTGATAAGATACTTTTGAAGATGGATTCGATGGAATCGAATGTTGGATCGCGAGGATGTGAATAATCGTTTTGTTGCTCGAGTTCTGGAAATTATGAGGATATTAATATTAATAGTGGATGATAGAAATTCCAAGATAGAGGAAGGGACACGAATTTTGATTACAATTTTAAAGAACGTTCGAGAGTTGGAATTTTTTAAAAAATAGTTTGAGAGAGTTTAAATGAAAAGTAAAATGAGTTTGTATAATGTGAAGTATTCTCTTCAACTTTTTCCTTCGTGGAATTCTGGAATTTCATTTAAGTTTGTTTCTATAGTATAGTAATTTTTGAATGTAGTTTATAAATAAGTCGATTGATTTTCTTGAGAAAATTTCAACTTTTCGTGTTTATCAAATCGCTTTTGTAAAAATTTAAAATAGAAACTATCAGAAATTATCAGGTGAAAAATCTTGCATCCTATACTTTAGGAGAAATAGCAAGAAGAAAGTGTTAAATTTTGAGAAATCCAGGAAGCTACATTCCTGTGAGGAAAATTTGCAAGATATGAATAGTCGCATTCACCAACTTTCCTTCCAATATTTGGCCAACTTTTCACGATATTTGATGTTTCAATTTTAGAAAAGAAATGTAAAATCTTTTCATCTAAGAAAACTGAAAGATTCGAAAATCCAAATCATAAATTTCATTTATAAATTTTCTTAAAAATTTATTTAGAGAATTATATGGTAAAAATTTTATATTCTCAATTCGAATCAATATGTCTTATATTGATCGTTGTTGTTAAAAATCCCAACAGATAAAAATATATTAATAATTTCTTAAAATTTCTCTTCTTATCTTCAAACATTTAAGTTAATCGTATACAATCGTATACATGAATTTAATAATATAAAATATATATTATATTATAATATATATAAAAAAAAAATAAAACATAATGAAATGTGGAAATACGTGAATATATATTAAAAATTATTTGGTAAAAGATTTAAAATTTTTATGAAACATTTTGAAATTATTATTTTGAAATATTTGCCAGAATTTTATATATTTAAACTTTCGTCGGATGTGTTATCGATCTGACGCGAAAAATAATCTCTGTTTTAATTATTGTTGTTTGTTTTAACTTGAATTACATATTTGCAACGAATTTCATGATTAAAAGTCTGACGGCTAGCCATAAAAATTTTGTTGAATTTGCATCGAAAAATTCACCACAGTATTTTAACTTTAATCTCGAACTTTATTTATTCAAAAAATTAGTAATATTATGTATGAAAAGAATCGTTGAATGCTGAATTTAAAAATTTAACATTTAGAGATAGAAATTTTTACCTTTTTAGTCCTTTGAGTATTGAAAAACACAAACACGCTACTCTTTTCTCCGGAGTAATGTTTTCAAATATCTTAATTTTACAAATACAAATTTAAAAACTTTAGAAACTTCGTAAAACTTGTTGAATAAAAAATAAATCTGGATCAATTATATATTATATATTAAATAACTTTTGATTCCATGAATTTTAAAAACTGGGATTTTTAAAATTCTACTTCATCTGTTATGTCAAAAATGATCGATAAATTAAAAATAAGTAAAAAATTAATAATTTCCTAAACTTTAACCTTTTCGTGTATTTCATCATTTCGACCAATTTTCCAATTTTCAAAATATAAAACTGTCTATTTCAATTTCGTGTTGAAATCATTTTTTGAAATCTGTTTGAAAAGAACTTTTGAAAAGACCTTTTGATATTTTCGTTTTTCATCCTCAGAACCGTTTCGTTGATTCATTTCAATTTTTCGTCGATTCGCTTAATGAAAAATCCAACAAATCCATGAAATTGAAATCTTCAATTTCATGAACCGGCGAATTTTAACTTTATAATCATAGTATTTTCAATATCCAAAACTTTTAAAATATGTGAAATAGATATTGAGAAACAAGTACAATATTCTAAAATCATTTTTTCATTAATGCATGATTAATATTATATACTATAATTCATAAGTAAGACAAGTTTTTTACTTTTGTTCGATATTTAAAAATTTTTCTCAATTATCTATCTATATCGTTATATTTTATTATTAATTTTAACTTCAAATATATATTTATCTCAATCAACGTCTGTTTCGCTGAATATTCTTTTAAGCAAAACATACTTGAATAATTAATTTCACGAGATGAAATGATTTCGATTAATTGCAACATAAATTACTTTTAATTAAAGATTTCGAAAATGCTACTTTATTTTTACACGCTATTATTTAATTTTTATTATTTAGACAAGAACTGTAGCCTTTGTAAAAATATTTCCATTTTATCGTTTTAAATATCTTAATATGAAATTTTATTTTCACAACGAAGGAAGATCGTTTAAAGTCGTAAGATCTCTCGATTAAATTTCAAGAAGCTCGTCACACGTTAAAAAAAAAACCATTGTGCGTGTGTTAATCCGTGAAAATCAACGTAATTACGATATCTCAATGCAGAATAGCCGAGACGAGTACTTGACATTCTTCGTTCATGACGGTTGAGACTCGATTGCGTATCCTCTCTTTCAACGATTCGAAATTATGTCTTTAGATGTATTTAGATCTGACTGCCAATTGAATGATCCCGTTATTAAGGAATTAAACGCGACAAACTAATCAAGTCTTAATAATACTCGAGACAAGAAACCAGATTGTCTCGAGAAATTTCATTGTTAAAATTCAATAAGATCGCAATTACAATTTAAAAAAAATTAATCGATGATTTGTAACGTGTTTTATATAAATATTACACTATAAAAATTCAGAATAAAATAAATATGATCAAAATATGATTAAATATAACGAAGTGTATGATTTTTAAATCGCCTCAAAAAATTAACGTATAATATTAATTGTTGTTTCAGTATGGTTTGACGATATAAATTAATCATCGATTAAATTTTTTATTTTAATTATGACAAATGCCAACATCTTGCACTTATTTTTTCCAAACTGACCCGAATATTTAGAGATCGAATTTATTTTCAAAATATGATCAGCAGTGATTTTCACACGCGGCCGTTGCCAAAATCGCATTAAAATCGGGCTGCAGAATTTGCAGACACATTCGTGTCATTAAAATGATGCATGGCTGACGTCCAAAAACCTAGTTCTTTTTGATATCGACTTAAAATACCTGATACGTCCAATTTTTATTGCGTTTATCATTGAACAAAATCAAACGTACAAATTTCCTTTATCCACGAATAAGATTATAAAGGGTGGTGATACGTTCTCAGCTTTATTTTTTTTCTTTTCTTTTTTCTCCCCCAAATCTAATGATTCAATTTTACGCTAACACGTGCCAAATTAATTTGGCGTGACGAGTAAATAAAACGTTAAGTTTTAGGTAGGGTGATACAAGGTGATTCAAAAATATCTGTCAATACTTCATCTATACAGAAGTTAGATCTATATATTAAAATAAATCAAAAATATCCATCATAGAATAATTTCTTATTCTTACGAAAAAGTTCGACTAACAAATTACATTATAAAATAAAAAATAACCAAGATATGTCGATCGATCAAATCAGCAAACAACTAATGATTTGTAACGTTTATAAGAAGACTATAAAAATTAAAAGCGATAGAATGAAAGCAATTAAATAGAATGTAATTATTTTACTATTAATTGATCATTTGATTTTCAAAATATTTTTCTTTTTTGCTATAAG